GTTTTGGTCACTTTTCAACACAACCTAAAATCAACAAAAAAATTAACGTCATTTCACGTCATTATTGGACATCAAAATAATATTGTCCTTAAAGGTCTTATAACGTTGTGTCTCTGCTGGGATTACGTTGTTTTTAAAGTAATAAACAAGACTTTCTTGCATTGTTTTTGCTTTGCATTTTATGTTTTCGTTTTGTAGTTTGTAGGTGATAAACATTCCCATCATCTTCGTAACCTTCGTTACGAGAAAAAATCTTCGTAATCTTCGTAATATAATAATAAATAACTTGTGACAAACAAGCATTTCTTGCTTTGTGATTTTAGTTTTTTCCCAGCAGGCACACAACATCATAAGACATTAAAATTTGTTTAGATTCAGGTCGTAATGCCGAGTGACCAAAATTCTACGTTGTGTTGGAAAGCTACTAAAATCCAACGTCAAGCTGTCACATAACTGGACATTGATATTTAGTTGTTTTTAGGTTGCGTTAGAAAGTCACCCAAATCTAAAGTCTGTCTAGTGTTAGACATTGACGTTTGCCAGACGTTGGGTTTTGATGTAAAACAGATTCTTAATTCCACCAAAATGCAACATCCCCTCGATGTTGGGGTACAACGTCAATCTGACATCGTGTTGATGTCCTGTGCCTGCTGGGTTGTTTTACCTTTTTTTTGTATCTTTAGATGTTTTCTCACGTTAATATACGTTATGTTTTGTTACATTGTTTTGTTTCACTGTGCGATTTGGTTGTTTTTAGGTTGCGTTGAAAAGTGACCAAAATCTAAAATCTGTCCGACGTTGGACATTGATGTCAGCCTGACACTGGATTCTGACGTCAAACCGTTTTTTAAGAGTTCACACTTAGCTCATGATTGATTCTAAAGCTTGTCTGGCATGCTGTCTCGGGACAGAGCCCTGTGCTCATAAGATTCCCGAGCACAGGGCTCCCTCCAGTTTGCAAGGCGAGAGGGGAGTTTGAGCTCGGGTAGATCTCGAGAACTCGGCTGCTGTGGTAGCTAACGAACAGATAGTGACTGTTCTTAAGAGATAACTCACAGAACACACAGAAAGGTCTGCTGGCTTGGTAAGGACTAGAACCAGTGACGTTCTTGCTGTGAGGCAACAGTGCTAATCACTGGGCCACCGTGCCACCCTTCAGGGAAAGGAGGAGGAGTAGGGGTGGAAGGGGCATCCTACAAAACGTAGATGGCTGTTATATGGAACTTAAGGTATTTATAGTAGCTTAGGAATCGTCTGATTGGTGAATCCTAAATTGAATAATGCAGGCTGCAAGCAATCATAAGCACGTGATCCTCTCGAATGTAGTTTATAAATAAACTTCACTTAATTTCCACTCAAAATGCAACATCCTCCTGATGTTGGGGTACATAGTCAATCTGACATCATGTTGAAGTCCTGTGCCTGCTGGGTTGTTTTATATTTAGTGCTTTCTTTTTTGTATGTTTATGTACTGTATATTTTCACATCTTAATCTACGTTGTTGTGTTACATTGTTATGTTTCATAATGCGACTTCATCCCCTCACATTCGTAACACAACAGTATAGCGCGGCATTATTCCTGTAGCTTGAACTCATCCTGTTGGTTTTGTCCTCTGCCCTTGAATATGATAATAGAAGAGCCACTCCAAGTGTTCCTGTACCGGTGAAATGTTCGCAGCTGACATGGCAGGAACATTAGCATGTGGTGAAGGGCACATTGGAACCGGCGACCGTCGACAGCCAAGACAGGAGTTCATAGAAGCGGGAGAGAGAAAGCAAAATGGCTAGTGACAGAAGAAAGTTTATTCGAAAGGACAGGAGAGCTGTGCGGCGTAACGTCGCAGTGCTGCAGACAAACTCAAAGACGCGAATGAAATAACAAAGAGAAGGGTAAAATAAACCCTATCAATACTGTACGTCCTACCTTGAAGCCAAAGAGACAGGCATGGAGAAAGGGACAAACAGAGAGACAATGATAAATGGGGAGATGTGAAAATACTGCCGAGCTTTGCAAATGGAGCCTGCCGTAAATATGGAGGCAGACAGTTATTCAGAGCAAGGAAGTGTTTAGCGAGACATTATGTCGATATTTGTTTATCAGGGGAGTAGTGTGGGCAAACACCCGAGGGTTTAAAGGATGTTTGTGCCAAATTATAGGCCAAATTATACATGACAATGTTAGGGGGGGAAAGCAACAACAATGGGTTACTATGAGCTGCTTCAATTTAAGTGTGAAATATTCTACTTTTACCGCTACTATAGTAAAGAAATGATAAATGATTTACATATGCAGTCCTGAATAAATGACGTATTTTACAATCATATGAATATGCCAAGGATGATGATGCTTGTCATTTGATTAAACATTAGATGGTTCATTAGTGACAATAAGCAAGACATTTATTTTCTTTATAATTCAGTCAAATTTGTATTTTGTTTTGCTCTGGATTTTTTTCTTGTTTTTTATTTTGTTTATGTAAAACAGATTTTCAGATTTCTCTGATGTTAAAGTGGCGCCATTAAAAAGCTTTCGATTGTTTTGTGTTTACAGTTTTTCTCAGTTGCTTTGGCTCAACTTTTGGTTTGATTTTTTTTAAAACAGTTATTTAGGATTTCCTAACAATTAGCTTATTTTTCAAAACAAATTGTGATTTCTTATTGATTTGAGCCAATTGCAGATGCTTTGGCTCATGTGTGCGAAAAGGAAGTACAATTGTCTGTAGTTTGGACAAAAGCTAATTGTATATGGCTTGTTGATCAAGACTGATGAGTCAACTTTCATTCAAACTCTTCACAGTTTCTCAACCATCTTTCGTTTAAGCCATCACACTCAAAACAATTTATTCAAATATTTATTCAAGAAAGCACATGTTTAGAACATAAATATCTGATATTGACGTTGTTTTATTACAAGTACTAAATCGGTAAATGACATTTAATTGTTGTACAGTTTGCATCAGCTATTTAACTAATCATGTTTGGAAGCATATATACAAACACATACATGTTGGACGTGTAATCTCTGACGAGGCCAAAAAGAGAAACAGGATGGCCACCAAGAATACAGTTTTTCAAGGTTGCTATTTAGTAGGTTTTTTTTGTTTTTTTTGTTTGTTCATTCTTGGTAACAAAAAATATGAAAAATACAATATAGTAATTTTACAAACAAGACTGCACTACACATGTAATACAATTGTATAAATATACTGTATAAATACAAATGTTCCAGGTTTATTTTTTCCCCCAATTTCTGTTCAACGGAGAGATTTTTTCAACACATTTCTAATAATAAGTTTTAATAACTCATCTGTAATAACTGATTTATTTTATCTTTGCTATTATGACTGTAAACTAGTACTAAAAGGTACTATTTTACTATATTTTTAAAAGGCTTAACTAGGTTAATTAGGTTAAGTAGGCAGGTTAGGGTAATTAGGCAAGTTATTGTGTTATGAGGGTTTGTTCTGAAGACTATCGAAAATATAGAGCTTCAAGGGGCTAATAATTTTGACCTTAAAATGGTTAATTAAAAAATTTAAAACTGCTTTTATTCTAACCAAATTAAAACAAATAAGACTTTCTCCAGAAGAAAAAATATTATCAGACATACTGTGAAAATTTTCTTGCACAGCTAAAAATAATTTGGGAAATATTTAAAAAAATCAAATCAAATCAAAGGGGGCTAATAATTCTGATATCAACTGTGTGTGTGTGTGTGTGTGTGTGTGTGTGTGTGTGTGTGTGTGTGTGTGTGTGTGTGTATATATATATATATATATATATATATATATATATATATATATTCTTTTTTTCCTTCTCTCTGTGTACTAATAACCCTTCTCAACAAGTATCAGATTTTTTAAAACTTTAATTTCCATGGTTGACTGTCATGGTGAAAAAACAACTAATCATTTTGTGGCTCACACAATGACAAATACAATTTGTTTTGGAGGTCTTGGCCAAATTGCTGACATCATAACTTTTTTGAAGCATGGATTTAATGTTTTGAGAAAGTAACTATATTTTGCAGACATGCTATAAAGTTCTAAAGTTCCAGCAAACTGTTTTGACTTTTGCACTTACAGTTAGACAATGTTAAGTCTGTTTTAAAAAATGTGCCAATGTAAATGAGACAAACTGTAACAATTCATCTAAGGTGATTTTAGTCCTTTTTAATTTTATTTATTTATTTATTTATTTATTTATTGCACCCTATATAGGCTTTTTTGTTAAGCTTTTTTTTTTTTTTGCTCTGTATTTTGTTGTTTAGTTGTTGTTTGTTTAGTTGTTTTCATTGCACTTTATGTTCGCCTTTTGTTTTATTTATTTATTTTTTTGTTTCACATTTATTTTTGCTCCCCAATTTATTTTACTTTTTGGTTCTTTCATGATTTCCATTTGATTGTTTTGTAGTCTTTTTATTGTTTATGCTTTGTTTTGTTCTGCTTTTTAGTTTTTCTTTTTTGTTTATTTGTTTGTTTATGTTGTGTTCTGTAAATAAATTTCAAGAGGATCACATGCTTATGATTGACCACAGCAGGTCCAGTCCAGTATTAGCAATAACTTGTTACATTAATCAGATAAATTCAAATACATATAAACAGCCAGTTTTCCATACCTTAGCCATCTTTGTTTTAAAGAATCCCTCCATCCACCCCTCTTCCTTCCCCTCTTTATTGACAAAATAGGGAGGAGCTCTCGAGACCTACCTGAGCTTAGACTCCCCACTCACCCAATGAACCCTGGGCTCGAGGTTCTCTCGGGTTCAAGGTTCTCTCCCAGGACAGCATGCCAAACTCGCTCTTACTTATCAATCATCAGCTAAGTGTGAACTCTAGAATATATATATTTTATCTAGCTAAAATCTTTGATGTTACTTGGTTTCATACTTGAGTTTGCTATTGCCTTTAAACAATATTGACCCAAATATTTAAAAGAATCTCGTTAGTATTTCTGAAATATTCATGCTTATAATGTTGCCTATTTGTCATTTGTACAGTACAAGCAAGTGGAGCAGTACATGTCCTTCCACAAACTTCCAGCAGACATGCGGCAAAGGATCCATGATTATTATGAGCATCGCTATCAGGGCAAGATGTTTGATGAGGAGAGCATTCTGGGAGAACTGAACGAGCCGCTCAGAGAGGTCAGTAGAAATGTTTAGCAAGCAAGTTAGTGTTTCCATCAGCGTTTGATATTTTGGATGGCATTTCTGGTTTGGAAAACTTTAAATTCAAATGAACTGAAACAAATCACTAAAAACAGTAATGTTGGGAGACAATTCATTTTACTTATTGTGCAATTTAAAAACAAGAAAGGCATTGTTTTGGGTATTTTAGATTATCCTTCATTAAAATAATGCTATATGCTTGGTAATTTAGCATGAGATTAATATCTTATGTGTATCTGTGGCCAAAGCTCAATGTTTTGTTTTAATATTTTTTTTCTTTGAATTCCATAGAGTACAGTAATATTTATTATGTGCCTGTAATATTGATGTGAAAAGACGTGTTTTGTGTTTTTATGGTTATTTATCCTGAAAGTTATTTGTTATTTTTCAATTTTAATATTCCGTGAATGAACTGTAAAGACAATAATAGCACCTTGTTGTACCATTAAAAGCATTAAACTCCTTGTTTACGGTTTCATGTAATCTACTCCCATAATTTACACAAAGCATCATGGGACATAATAAAAACATGGTTAATTTCTTTCTGCAGCTTGTATTCTACTATTAACCATCCACTTTTTGGTATTGTTTGTTATATACAGGAAATAATCAGCTTTAACTGTCGAAAGCTTGTTGCCACAATGCCGTTGTTCGCCAATGCGGATCCAAATTTTGTGACCTCCATGCTCACCAAGCTGCGTTTCGAGGTGTTCCAGCCAGGAGATTACATTATCAGAGAAGGGACCGTCGGCAAGAAGATGTACTTTATACAACACGGTGTACTAACTGTCCTGACGAAGGGCAGCAAAGAGACAAAGATCTCGGACGGGTCTTATTTTGGAGGTAAGAGAACACTGATATTATTACTGATTGAATGTTTTCATACAACATGTACTTGGTTTTGAAATTTGACTTGGCGTAATACAGATTGGTTAGCACTGTCACCTAACAGCAAGAAGGTCGCTGGTTCGAGTCCCAGCTGGGCCAGATGACATTTCTGTGTGGAGATTGCACATTCTCCGAGGGTTTCCTCCGGGTGCTCCGGTTCCTTACACAGTCCAAAGACATGTATAGGTGAATTGAATAATCTAAATTGTCTGTAGTGTAAATGAGTGCGCATAGGTGTTTTCCCAGTACTGGGTTGCAGCTGGAAAGGCATATGCTGCATAAAAAACATATGCTGGAATAGTTGGTGGTTCATTTCACTGTGGCAACCCCTGATTAATAAAAGACTAAGCTGAAAGAAAATGAATGACTGAAAATCAGTAATACTGAATTAGTTTTTAAAAGGGGCAATTCCCACAAAAAAAGAAAAACAAAGTCTGTCAACATTTACCTCATTACCTCAAAATGTCATATGCCATAAACAAATGCAAGCTGAACATAAATCTACAGTAGCAAAAATACCTTAGGCACACATAATTGCACATTTCTCACATTGCCATCAGCCTTGCCAACAAAAGGAATGCATATTAACAAACAATGTGTGCTTAAATAGTGTGGGGATCAAATAATTCAGTTTCAATCAGTTCAAGTGGGAACATTTTTGTCCTTATAGTCATGAGTCCTTATAGTCATGAACTATTTATGTACCTAGTATTAAAACAGATAAGGAAAAAAAGGAAAAAAAAGGAAAAAAATAAGGGATATATATATATATATATATATATATATATATCCCTTATTTTTTTCCTGTGTCAATATCTTCAGATTGTTTTTATTATCTCTGGTTTTTATTTTGATGGTTCAAATAAATAAGCCATAAAACCATCAAAATACATGTATAATTCAATAAAATCATTACATTTACTTATTTTAACAACAATATAGCTACAGGCTTGTAAATAAAATTAGTTTTGTTGTTGTTAAAATGAAAGCATGGAATAACAACTGTGTAAATATGCCTCATAATAATGATTTTAAAACATTATTAATATTACTTTGAAAGTACTGTTCTTATCTAATTGTATAAATCTGATGTATCAGTTTCTTGAAATTACCTTTATTTTGACGGCTTGTAGTGCAGATGTGTCTTTGGGTTCTACCTTAATGATCTAGACGCAAAGTCTAAAGGGTATGGCGCCAAAGCTTTAAGGGCGTGTCCGAATCCACTTTTGCTATTTTATGGATGAAAAAACAGGCTTTGAGCCGCGGTGCATGGTCTAACAGGGTTGTGCTTATTCTCTTAATGAGTTAGAGGTGTGTTTTAAGAATAATGTGCATTAAACCAATCAGAGTCTCATCTCCCATTCCCTTTAAGAGACAGTTGCGGCACGCCATGGCGCATTTGCTATTTACATGGCAGACTTTGTAAGTGGAAAAACTGAACACTTCACTAGCGAGAAAACAGTTCAACAGACCATCTGCAGCGCTAGGTGTAAGCCTCCTCTATTCGGCCTCTTTACTTTCTCTTTACTTTAAGCACAAAGATTTGTTTCAATTCTATTTCTAAATTCAGTTCTAATTTCCAGCAAACAAATAAATGAACAATATTAAGAAAGTGTGGTAAAAAAAAACTGAGTTATATTCAAACACACATCCTATTCTTATTATATTATGTGGACAAATCTAAACTTGTCTTAATTAAAGCATATAAATATGCATATAATAAATAATACTGATAATAATAATAATAATAACGACATTATGCAAATGCAAACTGTCATGAATTAACTAAAAAAGGCCTCTGAAATGAGTCATGGAGGCGGTGGTTTTTATATTTATGTAGAAAAAAAACTTTTTTGTCATATTTTAATCCTTTAATTTTTTTCAAATATAAATATTTGTGTATTGCTGTACATCCTGTGTGTATTAAGCAATGTATATGTGCTTTGGACCTGCATAGACACATAACTAACGCGCTCTATGCTGGACTTTAGGCCAGCTTTAGTGGTCAGTGGCGCAGTCTATTTTAGTTCTTCAAAATAGCAACACGCCAACAATGCGACTTAACATACCTCCTTTTTAGACCAGAACACCCATCAATCCACATGTAAAATAGACTCAGAGGGTTGTGTATCCATTTAAAGCTTTATTCAATAATTGCCAAAAACAGCAATACGAAGGTGGCAGAGACATGAGCATGGTCAGGCGGAGCAATGGTCAAGGCAACAATGAGAGCTTTCGTAATCAGAATATCAGGGAGAGGTCTATCTTGGCAGGCAGCTCTTAACCAATGAGACAGGCTAGGTTCGAGGCAGGCAGAAGGTTCGAGGCAGAATTGATGTTGGGAGTCTGTATGTATGTGCGAGTGGGGATAGCGATCAGCTGTTGGATAGTCAACCCCAGAACGGGATTATAGGACTTGGAGTCTGATGAATCTGTAGTACTCGGGTGATGACGCCCTCTGCTGGTTATTAGGGGGAATAGGGTACATGCCGAAGCATGCTAATAGGACTTTTAATTTGCACTTCCGGTGAACTGTATGCCAATGCAAAAAAAAAAAGTGCGTTTAAGGTCAGTTTTCTTTAAAAATCAGCGATCTCCACTAGCTGAGTGATATCTGATATAAAGTGAGTCTCAGATAGTACGAGAAGCACTGCATTAAATTACATTTTCCCCGCCATGTCTTTAAAATATGACCATTTATTTTACCCCAGTATATTCAATGAAGCTTTTGCGCTAATCTGCCAATTCTGAAGGGCGCGTGCGAGTTTTGTCTCGTTTTACGTTTGAACAACTAAAGGAATGCCAAAGTCTATTTAACTGAATGTATTTTAATTACATTACAACGTCGATGTCGTAAAAGGAAACGTATAAAATGGAAAAAAGCTAACAATATCAGGTCACCGGAAGTTTATCAGTATGGGAACAACTCTAGCTTGGCATATACCCTATAGCCGGGATCAAGATGGTGACACCACAAAGTGGCACAAATAGATTTGCTCTTTAAACAACATGACGCAAAACGTGAAAAATAGGAATGTGCCGGTCTGAAGATAGCAACAAATCGCGCCAAACCCATCTTGCACCTTATTGCACCGGGTGTATGATAGGGCCCTTTGTGTGGGTATGATATGATGACAATAGTTTTTCTCAGATAAAATGGTATCTTTTTATGAAACGGTGTCTAAACTAGTCATCAAATTGTTTTCATATCATTCATTCCTGTGTATTTGATGACAGACAATTTTGCACTATCCTTGATCGTCTTAGATTTAGACAGCACAAACAATGTAGCCTTTTTAAGCAAAGACGTCTATGCTTAGACATCGATCCTACGAATAAACTCATACAAATATGGAATAAATTAGTACATTTCAATTTTTTGGGTTAAACTGTCCCTTTAAGCTGCAGAAATTAAGTTTGTGTTTTTATTAGAGAGAGTTTATGTGCTTAATGTTCAGGCTGGTACCACCATGTTTTTCAGTGTTATCGGCTGGTTCTCCAAAGGGAACCAAATCAGTGAATGGCCATGCTTTCGGAGCCTGGGGAAATTCCTCATCCAGCATAAGTTAACCATTCATGAAATTAATTTCCCCTCACAAGATTGTGGAAGAAGGAAAAGATAACAGTTTGAGTTGAGCCTTGTCATCAGTGGCAGTTTTTCACTTATTGCAGTCAAATCCACGCTGATTTTTCTTGTGTGTGTTTTTTGTGCCATTTATTCTGGCATGGATTATGTTTTGTTCATAATTAAATGCCTAATAAAATGCAAAAATGACAGTTTACTCATATTCTAGGTTATCCTATATGCAAATACTGGGTCTACCAAACAAATCAAAACGCTCTATTTTCCCAAGAAAATGAGGGTGCTGCAAATATTTAGAAATAAATTATACACCACCTGGTCTCTGAATGCAAGCGAGCCTCTTTCCTGCCATTCCGTGCCATTATAAACTCTATTACTGTCTCCTGTGTGGTTCTGGGATCACAACTAAGTAGTCTGTGCTATCAGTGAGCTGCAGATTTAGTCAAGAAAAAAAAAATGGCATCATATTTTCCCCCAAAAAACCTTTCCTTCTGCCCGGGCTCGTTTGAGGTCATTACATGTTCAACAAGCCGCTCATAATCTCTTTTCCCATAAACCCTGTGTGAAAGTGCAAAAAGGAAGAGAGGTTTGGATTCTAGCCTAGTACCGAGCTCACCCAGTCCCCATATGTCATCTGTTTTTTTTTTCCCCCACTCTGTTAGCATTTTGATCTGGTTACGTTTGCACACAGCAATGAATATTCTGTTTACTGGCCACTGTTTTACTATTTAACTTGTTTTATTTGAGAGAACATCAGATTTGCATCAAATTAAATTTACAAAAGGGATATTTATACATAAAGAAAAAGCTTATTTAATTCAAGTAGTTTCTAATTTTATTATTTAATTTTTCATTTAACATTTCAAATACCTTTTATACAAGCAAATATGGATAAGATAAATGTATATAAGTAAATATGAAATAATTATTTGATCTTTACTTAAAATTGGTATTTTTTTTTTAACTATTTTTTTTTTTTAAATGTAATTGGTAAATCTAATGGCTGGAATGATTGTGGCTAGGTTAAATTTTTTAATGTTCCAAAAAGATTCTTGTAAAATTCTATCAAATTTTAAAAAATAAATGCAACCTATTCTATTTTACAAAATATTTCAAATAAATGCTGTTCTTTTGAAATTTAGTTTTATATAATAATTTAAATAATGTTTATTATTATTAATTTAATAATGTGATTATTATTTAGCAAACATACAGTAGGTTGAATATTTTATATATATATATATATATATATATATATATATATATATATATATATATATATATATATATTGCTTTACAAATATTTTTTGTTAGGGATGTCCTGATTAGGGTTTTTTTCCCCTCGAGTCCGAGTCATTTGATTTTGAGTATC